GCTGACAAACAGCTGATCAGCTGTTTGTCGGCTCAGCGCGGCAGCCATGTAAATTTAAATGAAGCGGCGATTATTTAAATCGCCGCTTCATTTTACTGTGTCAGGTAGCCTAATCTACATGCCTCTGGCGACAGAGGCATGTAGTCTAGATGTACTCTGAGTTTGGAAGGTCTGCAGAGACTACTTGTGGAGGAGGAAACGCTTTAAAAGTATACTCACTTTATATCAACCTTGTCTGAAACTGCTGCTGTTACAGTAAAAATAACTGAAATTGCTAAACCCGAAAGACCAGATAATAATCTTTCATAATTATTACAAAGTGCTAGCATATGCACAATGTGTGTTAATCATTCTTTCTCCTTTGTAGTCAGTTTTCTATTTAGTTTGTATAGATTTTTAATACTGCATGAGACTTAAAAAAAAAAAAAAAAAATTCCAGAAAATGGAAACAGTTTGTGGAAGGTATAGTACTTGTAACTCACTCCAAAATTGATTAGACTTCAAGTAGATGGCCTTTTGTGCTTACTACAATTTAAATACACTATGTTGCCTTGTTAAAACTGATTAAATGTCTCATTGTGTGTACTAGCGCTGCAAATGATAAATGGAGAGCACTCTGGAGAGTACTGCAATACTGACAGGTCAATTTTTATAGTCACAGCACAAAACAGACGAAGTGTCAGTTGAAAGACTAAGAATACCAGTGACTGGTGGATGGGAGGAAAGGAATGAGCAGATTTTTTTTTCTAGTCTAAATATCTGACATACAGTTTAATGGCTTTCTGTCTACCCATTTAGCATGTATGTTGCGACTGCAAGAAGGATTTTTGCTCAGTTTGTTCAGTTTTGTATGAAAATATCAGAAGATGTTCTACTTGTCACTTGTTACAAGAGACAGCATTTCAGCGGCCTCAGTTGATGCGATTGAAAGTCAAGGATCTGCGTCAGTATCTGATCCTTAGAAACATATCAACAGATACTTGTCGAGAAAAAGAAGACTTGGTGGATCTTGTTCTCTCCAATCATGGATTAGGTTCTGAGGACACAGACAGTAGTAGCTTGCATTCTTCAAGGTCACAGACTTCTAGTTTTTCTACACATCCATTTTCTCTGTCTGTATCATCCTCTCGAGAAATTACCAATAGAAGAGGAAGCACAGGAAATGGAACCCCTTTACAGGTACAGTAGTTGTCTTAGAATGCACTGATACCTATAGAAAATGCCCTCTGCTGCACACTTTTAAAAATATTCCAATGGACAGGTTCTCTGGGAATATCCCTTTTTACACTGATTGAAAATGGAAGAACTCAAATAACTGGGACTAGACTGTGATCATCTAAATCTGTAATGGTTACCTTCAGCGTAAGTTGTCCAATTTGAGTGTCATCTGACCTGGTTAAGATATTTCCCTTACTTTACCAGGGAGGGTTATGTTTTTATCCTGATCTAATTCATTGTATATGCAGGGTCAAAGTGGAATGCCTTCTGCAAATAATGAAGATGAAGAAAACGCAGAAGAGATGGTGAGACACATAAATCACCTAAAGAGTAAACTAGACCTATTTGACATCTGGTGCAGAAAAATGTACAGAGCCTTAACACTGTTAATTGAACTTAACCTGCAGCACCACAGACTAGCTCAATATAAGTATTTAAAGAATTTACCATTTTAAACTATTTTCAAGCTATATCAGGTATTAGCTAAAACTAGAACAGAATTTTTTGTCTGAATTCAAGTTAAAATTACTGTTGCAGACCCCTGGGGTGTCCCGAAAACGAGCACGGGCATCACTGTCTGATATTTCAAGATTGGAAGATGTTGAAGGGTTGAGTGTCCGACAGCTGAAGGAAATACTTGCACATAATTTTGTCAACTATTCAGGATGCTGTGAAAAATGGGAACTTGTGGAGAAAGTAAGCAGGCTGTACACAGAGAATGAGGAAAATTATAAGACATGTAGGTATTCAATTTTTTTCCCCCTTTAAACTAACTCCTTTTCCTAGTTCTCTGACTGCCTTTGACAAAGGATATTCTAAGTGCTTTAACTTGAAAGCTATTTTAACTATTAGCTGTGTCCAGAATAGATGACACTGCTAGATCTGATGAGAGTTACTTTTGACCAGTATGTGGTATTGGTTCCTGAAACTGTTCTTCTGAAAGATTTTGGTAAAGTTAAATACACTGATTTACACTTTAGCTTTCTTCACAGTAAATTGGTAAAAATTTCACTATTGAAAACAACCCATTGGGGAGAATGAAATTTGCACCTCCATGCCTTTCTCTGGGCTTTCACAAAGCATTAGTAGGTCTTTTGGCGATGGGGGAAGGGAAGCTATTACAGAAGAACTCCCAATTTTGTAGTGATAAAAGCTATGCTGGCACCATGCCCTCTGGCAGAGGGCTAATCTTACTACATGTAATTGATGGTTTCTATGGAATAGTTGTGAAGCCATTGCTGGGACAAGTGGTGATATAGTTAACTTTAAGGAAAACCCCCAGAAACTTATGGGATTTTAATAAAACCTTGTATATGCTCATAAACTAAGCATAAGTGTCAATTCTGCCACTGTCATTTTGGGCATAATTTAGAATGTCAAGACTTTTTCCTGTTAGGGATGTTAAGTAAAAGGTTAACTAGCTTCACGTGCCCGCTTAACACGTTTTTGCGACAGCACGATTTTTTTTCTAGGGAATGTTTGTTGAATTACATGACCATCCCCGGAATAACGTGATTTCTCTAGCCAGCCCATTGCCAGCAGCTGTGCAGGGCTTCCTCCGCCTCCCTGAAAGGCGGCGGAGGGTTCGCTGCTCACCGCACCGTTCCCTGGCGACCTCCCTCCCCCACCGGACGCAGTGCAGGTCCCAGCAGACGTGCTACAGGGGCATACTTCCAACTCAATCCTCCTCCCCTTTCCTTCCTTTCCCTTCCCCAGAGCCAAACACCTCCCCTCCCTGCTGTAACCCAGCCCTTCTTCTCCCCCAACCTTATGTCCTGGTCCCAGATGCTACTGCTTGAAACTCAGCCCCCTCCTTTTCCATTTTTTAATGGGAAAATTGACCCCCGCATAACACGTTTTCACTTAACACGATCATTTTCTGAAACAGTGTTAAATGAGGAATTATTGTACTTGATAAAGGGGGCACTTACATTTAAAATGCAGAGCCACTGTAGTAGTATGAAGAGCTGGGCTCTTACTACATTTAAAGTGAAGAGCTTCAGCAGGGTTAGCTCCTGGAGGTGGCATGAGCTAGGACTGAACAGTCCTGGCTCACATTGGGTCCAACACGATCATTTTCTGAAACAGTGTTAAATGAGGAATTATTGTACTTGATAAAGGGGGCACTTACATTTAAAATGCAGAGCCACTGTAGTAGTATGAAGAGCTGGGCTCTTACTACATTTAAAGTGAAGAGCTTCAGCAGGGTTAGCTCCTGGAGGTGGCATGAGCTAGGACTGAACAGTCCTGGCTCACATTGGGTCCAGGACCACTGGCTTTGCCCTTTCCTCCCGCCCCCCCCACCACAGCACTAGCTCCT